CAACATCTCCTTATGGTTCCCCTCACAGGATCAACATCTCCTTAAGGTTCCCCTCACTCACTTTAAGACCCGTGGTGACCGGTCCTTCTCCTCTGTGGCCCCCAGGCTCTGGAATGAACTCCCTGTTAATCTGCGCTCCATTGATAACATTGTCTCTTTCAAGTCACTCCTAAAAACTCACTTTTTCTGTGAAGCGTTTAGCTAACCATTTCACCATTACTGCAGGCCTACCTCCATTATAAATAATCTGTGTTTTATTTATTATTGAACATACGGCAGATTTTTCTCTCCTCCATTCTCTATGTTTTGTGTATTATTTGTATATTTTGCTGTGCATTGACCGTGTGTCTGAGTTACAATTTTATTATTTAATCTTGATTTGATATTTCATTACGTTCTTATGTTTTATCCTGTTTCATTTTATCTTTCCACCATTTTTATACTGTTAATGTTTGTACAGCACCTTGTGAATATTTCTGTGAAAGGCGCTTTATAAATAAAACTTTACTTACTTACTTTTATCGTGACTTGTTTTCAAGACCTGCTTGATAACTATTTTCCTATGAAAATGAAAACTTTCACAAATCTTCTGATCTAATCAAGCTGCATGACTTTATGTTGTTGTTGCGAGGCAAAGCTGCACTTTTTTTGTTTTACTTTAAAACATCTGTAATCTGGCAGTTGTTTTTGTGCTATGTGTTTTTATCTTTGGGGTCACCTTGAACTCAATGTTTAGCACATCTAAATCAGTGTTTCCCAAAGTTGGGGTTGGGACCCAAAGTGGGGTTGAAACATCAAGGTGGGGTCCTGAAAAGATTTTCTGAATTAATTACATTTTTGTCTTAGTTGTTACAAAGGAGTGAGGTTAGTGTATTTAAAATGGATAAATGTAGTATGATCTGATACAAATGTTTACCATCCAAAAATAGTTGGGGGCTCAGGTCTCTGATACTGTTTTGTACTATTTTGTGGATCAAAAGGTAAAATGTTTGGGAACCAGTGCACTTTGGTTCCCATATTTGAGCTTGGGACCAATTATGGGTCATGAAGCACCTTGGATAATCTCCAGAAATCAATTTAAAGGGTAATAAAATAATTGCTGATGTAATATTTTCCC